TTAAACAGTATCAGAGTCTGCAAAGCCAGACTGCAGGCCCTCTGCAGATTGGTTTAAAAAAGTATCTCTTTGGGTCTAGGGACCGCCTTTTTTCCTGGGTTGAGATCTCCATTTTGGAATCTCCCCTGCCTCCTTCAGTTTTAGAGATGTGCTGTAAGGCCAGTCAGAGAGCTCTGAAAAAATCATTGTAAGTACGATTGAGTTATTTAGATAGAGAAGCTAATTGAGTAAAGGAAAGAATTGAGTCTTAATTGAGTTATTAAGAAAGGCAGTTGAGTCTTAATTGAGTTATAGATAGATAGATAGATAGATAGATAGATAGGTGGCTTGTTTGACTTATCTCGTTATTAATTCGTATTTAAATTAGCTTACGATCCAATATCGAGCCATGCAGGAATAGTGTGAGGAGTAATTAAGAATTGAAACAATTTTTCCAAATTTTCGTAATTATTTCGTAATTATTAAGACGGGAAAGAAGGAGAGAAAAGGTGCCAGCGTTGCCTTTCCTCCCCATCCACCTCCTGGAGATTTTTTATTATCTTATTACTTATTTTATTATTTTATTGTATTATTTTATTATTTATTTTATTATTTTATCAATTTTAAGTGATTTTAATTTGTATTTTTACTAACTTAATGTATTTTAATTTCATCCTGAATTTATTTTAATTTGGTTTCTGTTAGTTGTAAGTTTTATCACCAACAGTCAGCAACAGAGGGAGAGGGATGCTTCAGAAGTTCCCCCTGTCCCGTTTGGAGGTGTTTTTAGCGCATTGCGCAATCGCGTCCGCCATTAACGAATCGATTCGTAATTAACAAAATTTCGTAAATTTCGAAATTTTGAAATTTTAAATTTCGGAAGTCCTCAGAAATTCGAAATGCTGGCGCCCCCTGGAAACGAAGCGAGTTTAGAACCAAATTTTTTCTTGATCAAACAAGCGTATTGAGCACTGTTTGCTTCATCTCCAAAACTAACCTTGGGCTGGAATAGGGAAGGCCTACGCTTTCTAAAAGATAGTAGCTCAGGGTTGGGGTAAAAAGATCTCAGGATTTTTTCTACCATTTGGAGGAAGGCAACTCAGCGACTAGAGGAAAAAAGAAAGAAAGAACATCTCTATGGTTTCACCAATTGACTGTTTTGTTTGTAACTTTGACAAGCTGTGCCAAGTCTGCAAGGACTTTGAGAAATAAATATTCTGTTTTGGTGTTCAAAACCTGTAGTAGCCTCAGTTGCTGGGAATCTCAAGCTTCTAAAGAAAGACCCCCGCGGTCCGCCCAGACAAAGAGAGAAGCACATCTTAGTTTTATTTTTATCGGGTCTGAGTGTGACGGCACAAGTATATATGGTAATTTAGCTGTGAATCTTTACAAAGTTGACTTATACATGAGTATATATGGTAATTAAGCTGTGAATTCTTTGGAGGTTCACTTATACATGAATATATATGATAATTAAGCTGTGAATCTTTACAAAGTTGACTTATACATGAGTATATATGGTAATTAAGCTGTGAATTTCCTTTGAGATTCACTTATACATGAGTATATATGATAATTAAGCTGTGAATCTTTACAAAGTTGACTTATACATGAGTATATATGGTAATTAAGCTGTGAATTCCCTTGGAGGTTCACTTATACATGAGTATATATGGTAATTAAGCTGTGAATTCCCTTGGAGGTTCACTTATACATGAGTATATATGATAATTAAGCTGTGAATCTTTACAAAGTTGACTTATACATGAGTATATATGGTAATTAAGTTGTGAATTCTTTTGGAGGTTCACTTATACATGAGTATATATGGTAATTTCCACACATCTCAGAAAAGTGGAGCTCCTTTGCTGGAGAATGTCATGGTCCAAATAGGGAGCCGTCGGGAGTTGAAGGTGAAAAAGCAGTTCCTGCCGGCCTGGCGGTTGTGGGAATTGGCCTTCCGTGACTACTGGATCGTTTGAACAACGATTGGCAAGGCAAAGGAATGTGCTTATGCTGCCACAACCTTACTATGATTAATCTCCAGAATGACACTTAACGACGTCAATATTTACATTCAATCTACTGTGGCGGATTGTTCGGTGGAGCATATGGGAAGGATTACACAGCCCCGCGAAGGAAGGCGCATTGTCATTTCTGACGCAAGGCAGTAATCATAATGGGGCTGGCAAAGCAACACCCAAACATATGTGCAGGCTGGGTCCATGAGCCTTCTGCTGCAAAGATAGCCAAGAGCCACATTAAAAACCGCCTTCAAACTACCCAATCCGTATAGAATTCAAACAGCATGCCAAGGAAAGTGGCATGTTTCTTTTTTTTGGGGGGGAAATCTCACAAATCTGCAAATTTTACTATTTTGGGTTTTAAGTATATTAAAGGGAGGAGTTGGATTGCTTTGCCGTGATGGCATTCACGCGACGTAGAAAAGCAAGGCTTCTTGTAAAGCCGTGCTCATTATCAAGAAAGCCCAAGAAAGCTTGAAAGCAGGCAGGGGCGGCTCAACCCATTACGCAAAGTAAGCATTCGCGGTTAGAGTTGATGTTGCCAGGGGCGCTCTTGAGGCGCTCTTGGGGGAAAATAGACCTTGACATATGCGAGTTGTAGTTACTGGGATGTATAGTTCACCTACAATCAAAGAGCATTCTGAACTCCACCAATGATGGAATTGAACCAAATATGGCACACAGAACTCCACGACGAACATAAAGTATATAGCAGTGATTGGTGAGTTACAAGCTGGGTAGATGCGGGGAATGCCGTGGATGTAGCATACTTGGACTTCAGTAAGGCCTTTGACAAGGTCCCCCATGACCTTCTGGCAAGGAAACTAGTCCAATGTGGGCTAGGCAAAACTACGGTGAGGTGGATCTGTAATTGGTTAAATGGACGAACCCAGAGGGTGCTCACCAATGCTTCCTCTTCATCCTGGAAAGAAGTGACGAGTGGAGTGCCGCAGGTTTCCGTCCTGGGCCCGGTCCTGATCAGGATCTTGATTAATGCCTTAGATCAGTGGTTCTCAACACCTGATGGGTCCCCAGGTGTTTTGGCCTACAACTCCCAGAAATCTCAGCAAGTTTACCAGCTGTTAGGATTTCTGGGAGTTGAAGACCAAAAACAGCTGGGGACCCCAGGTTGAGAACCACTTCCTTAGATGAAGGGTTAGAAGGCATGATCATCAAGTTTGCAGACGACACCAAATTGGGAGGGATAGCCAATACTCCAGAGGACAGGAGCAGGATTCAAAACAATCTTGACAGAGTAGAGAGATGGGCCAAAACTAACAAAATGAAGTTCAACAGTGACAAATGCAAGATACTCCACTTAGGCAGAAAAAACGAAATGCAAAGATACAGAATGGGGGACGCCTGGCTCGAGAGCAGTACGTGTGAAAAAGATCTTGGAGTCCTCGTGGACAACAAGTTAAACATGAGCCAACAATGTGATGTGGCAGCAAAAAAAGCCAATGGGATTTTGGCCTGCATCAATAGGAGCATAGTGTCTAGATCTAAGGAAGTAATGCTACCCATGCTCTATTCTGCCTTGGTTAGACCACACCTGGAATATTGTGTCCAATTCTGGGCACCACAATTCAAGAGAGATATTGACAAGCTGGAATGTGTCCAGAGGAGGGCGACTAAAATGATCAAGGGTCTGGAGAACAAGCCCTATGAAGAGCGGCTTAAAGAGCTGGGCATGTTTAGCCTGAAGAAGAGAAGGCTGAGAGGAGATATGATAGCCATGTATAAATATGTGAGAGGAAGTCACAGGGAGGAGGGAGCAAGATTGTTTTCTGCTTCCCTGGAGACTAGGACGCGAACAATGGCTTCAAACTACAAGAGAGGAGATTCCATCTGAACATGAGGAAGAACTTCCTGACTGTGAGAGCCGTTCAGCAGTGGAACTCTCTGCCCCGGAGTGTGGTGGAGGCTCCTTCTTTGGAAGTTTTTAAACAGGCTGGATGGCCATCTGTCAGGGGTGATTTGAATGCAATATTCCTGCTTCTTGGCAGGGGGTTGGACTGGATGCCCATGAGGTCTCTTCCAACTCTTTGATTCTATGATTCTATGGCGTCATGGATTTTAGCCCAGAAAACTCATGCCAGGTGCCCAGTGACCCATCCCCTTTTTTCGTGTCAGGAGTGACTTGAGAAACTGCAAGTTGCTTCTTGTATGGGAGAATTGGCCTTCTGCAAGGATGTTGCCCAGGGGACGTTGCTCGGATGTATTACCATCCTGTGGGAGGCTCCTCTCATGTCCCTGCATAAGAAGCTGGAGCTGACAGACAGGAGCTCAACCTTACGTTGTGGGGGTCACCACAACATAAGGAACTGTATTAAGGGGCTGCGGCATTAGGAAGGTTGAGGACCACTGCCTTAAGGAGCTGCTTTAGATGACAGACACTGTGTTTGGCTTAAAATAATTGCATATTGTGGCTTTATTCTCCTGGGTGCCCCAACAGAGCATGTAGCCATCCATCCACATTCGTAATATGAAAGAACCCCAGTTATGTTTGCCTGTGCTTCCCATGTGTTTCTTGTTGTTATCTGCCATCAACAGCCATGCTCCATCTTGCAAACCCAAGGTTGCCCTATTTCCTTCTACTTTAATGAACATTATTATGTTTTTTGGCATATCCACTCATCCGCACTCTCCCCGGATTCAAACCTCCAACCTGTCAGTCTTCAGTCCTACTGGCACAAGGGTTTAACTCATTGCGCAACTGGGAGCTCCACATAAATTACACTGAATCAATGAGTTTATTCTGATAGGACGAGACACTGGATTTTGGCATGAATTGGCTTTCATGTTAAAAAATAAAATGAGGTCAGTGGAGTGGATTTTCAAAGTGGAGGATAAAATCCAATCCTGCTTTCTGTATGGTACGTTTCAGTGTGCAAATCAGATTGACCAAATGTGGGATAGAAATGGGCGTTCTGCAGCTCATCTTTCCTTATTAATCTTTTGTTTTCAAAATAACCAAGAACATCTTGTTGCCATTAGAAAATTGGCTGCGATGGGATCATTGGCTCGGCTGCCCGAGAGGACCGCTGCGGCATCTGCAACGGAGACGGCAAAACCTGCAAAGTGGTGAGAGGAGACTTCAACCATACCAAAGGGATGGGTGAGTCACACCTGTGTGCGTGCTTCCTCATGGATAGCAGTGGTTGGGTTTGGTGTTGTAGGCACGGGACACCTTCCAGATTTCAAAGATTATTTATTTATCGTGTCAGGAGCAACCAGACATTTGTATTACACTTTAAACAAAGCAAGCAAACAAACAGACAAAACGCAAAGTTTGCAATCTTAGTAGTTGATTAAATGTCCTTTGACCAGTATCTGGCCACTTGGAGTACCTCCGATGTTGCCACAAGGAGGTCCTCCATTGTGTATGTAGCAGGGCTCAGGTTGCATTGCAGCAGGTGGTCAGTGGTTTGCTCTTCTCCACACTCGCATGTTGTGGATTCCACTTTGTACCCCATTTCTTAAGGTTGGCTCTGCATCTCGTGGTGCCAGAGCGCAGTCTGTTCAGTGCCTTCCAAGTCGCCCAGTCTTCTGTGTGCCCAGGGGGGAGTCTCTCATTTGGTATCAGCCATGGTTGAGGTTCTGGGTTTGAGCCTGCCACTTTTGGACTCTCGCTTGCTGAGGTGTTCCAGCGAGTGTCTCTGTAGATCTTAGAAAACTATTTCTTGATTTAAGTCATTGACGTGCTGGCTGATGCCCAAACAAGGGATGAGCTGGAGATGTCACTGCCTTGGTCCTTTCACTATTGGCTGTTACTTCCTGGCAGATGTCAGGTGGTGCAATACTGGCTAGACAGTGTAGTTTCTCCAGTGGTGTAGGGCGCAGACACCCCGTGATAATGCGGCATGTCTCATTAAGATCCACATCTATTGTTTTAGCGTGATATGTGTTCCACACTGGGTATGCATACTCAGCAACAGTGTAGCATAGCGCAAGGGCAGATGTCTTCACTGTGTCTGGTTGTGATCCCCAGGTTGTGCCAGTCAGCTTTCGTATGATATTGTTTCTAGCACCCACTTTTTGCTTGATGTTCAGGCAGTGCTTCTTGTAGGTCAGAGCACGGTACAGGGTGGCTCCCAGGCTTTAGTTCGCCTGGAGTTTCCTGCCACCAATTACCAGAGCATAGCGCAAGGGCAGATGTCTTCACTGTGTCTGGTTGTGATCCCCAGGTTGTGCCAGTAAGCTTTTGTATGATATTGTTTCTAGCACCCACCTTTTGCTTGATATTCAGGCAGTGCTTCTTGTAGGTCAGATGTCTTCACTGTGTCTGGTTGTGATCCCCAGGTTGTGCCAGTCCACTTTTGTATGATATTGTTTCTAGCACCCACCTTTTGCTTGATATTCAGGCAGTGATTCCCAGGTATTTGGGTGCACTGCAATGCTACAAAGCATCTGTGTTTCAAAGATACACCCTGGCTAACAGTTTCCGTTGGTTTAAACAGACATCACCTGAAATTAATGTTGAGAGATAGTTTTCCCATAATGGTAAGTACGACTCCTGTCAAGCCTCACAATTTCCAAACTAGGGTGCAGAAAAGTTGTACAATAACTATTTCTATCTCTGTTCTCTATGAATCACCCAAGTGGGTTATTCTGCACATACTTGCAGACATAACAGTGACACAGAAGCTCCTTGCAGTTAAATGGTGCAATTGCACATTGGACTTGGATGCATACACAACTGACTTTGGTGGTGTTTGTTGGGAAAGGGGATGTGATAGCTGACTTCTCTGATACAACTTAATGCCTTTCTTTTTCTTCAGTCTCCAATAGTCAATGTAAGAAGGTTTCTACCTGTGTGATGGCAAAAGCAAAGGCAGTCCCCAAATGCTTCTCATGTAAGATGGCTCTGTGTGGTGATACTGCTTTCTGGTGTCGGGCCTTTCCCTGTCTCCTTTGGTTGGACTGTCATGCAAAGACCCAACATCATGTAGACCAAAAGGGTTTGGGGAGATCTGAAAGTCAGACATAGAACTGGGGTTGCTAATGAAACACACAAAGAAGGCCTTGGAAAATCCATTATCCTTGCTCTTGCACTGGCCTTTCTGATGCAGAGTTGGCTGCTTAATCCATTGTGGCTTCTGGCATTAAGACAAAATAGAATACTCCGGTGGCCCAAGGCTTTCTTCCCAGCAGCCAGACCACTGGGGAGCTCCCATTGTCATGTGGGTGCACCCTTTGTAACAATGGATATTGGAATATTGAGTGATTCAGTGGGCAAGTAGAATAGGACACTTATTACCAAAACTGTAGTCCATCGTTGCTGGTGCATTTCAGAATTTTATCCAACCTAGGCTGGATTTTCACTGGCCATATAATGCAATCTCAGAATGCAGATTAACTGTGTTGAACTGGATAATATCATAGTGTAGTTAGTTAGTTAGTTAGGCGATCCCTCGTTTTCCGAGGAGGATTGTCTTCCAGTATTCTGGTGGGTCCGTATGTGGCTGTGGAGCCCTATTCTTGCTCTGGAGGGCATTGGTTTCCAGGTGGAAGGCGGTCTCGGTCAGGGTTGGCTTGACGCGCCTTCCTCTTGGCACGCTTCTCCCTTTCGCCCTCCATTCGTGCCTCTTCAAATTCTGCAGCACTGCTGGTCACAGCTGACCTCCAGCTGGAGCGCTCAAGGGCCAGGGCTTCCCAGTTCTCAGTGTCTATGCCAGGAGTTTTTAAGGTTGGCTTTGAGCCCATCTTAAATCTCTTTTCCTGCCCCCCACAACATTCCGTTTTCCGTTCTGAGTCAGAGCAACTTTTGGTTCTCCGCGTTTTATATTTTTTGTTGAATTCGGTAGTAGAGCAGGGCTGCTGCTTTGGTCCGAGACGGTGGTCCGGGAGGTCAAATGAGCATTCCGGACGACACTGTGACCCCTTGTTCCCCAGCGAAGATTGATGGCGGAGGACCATTCAATCAATGCTGTGGTCTTTGCTTCTTCCAGCACGCTGACGTTTGTCCGCTTGTCTTCCCAAGAGATTTGCAGGATTTTCCGGAGGCAGCGCTGATGGAATCGTTCCAGGAGTTGCATGTGACGTCTGTAGACAGTCCACATCTCACAGGCATATAGCAGGGTTGGGAGGACAATCGCTTTATAGAAAAGCCCCTTGGTATACCTACGGATGTCCCGGTCCTCAAACACTCCCTGCACTCGCAGAGCTCAGGCAGTGTTGTAGAACTCCAGTATGCTGATGACAACGTCGTCTGTTTGCATTCAGAAGACGATCTACAAGCCACTCTAAACACCTTCACAGAAGCATACGAGAAGCTCGGCCTGTCATTGAACATCGAAAAAACCAAGGTGCTGTTCCAGCAGACACCAGCCAACCCCTCTCCAATGCCAGCGATACAGCTTAATGGTGTAACATTAGAAAATGTTGATCATTTCCGCTACCTTGGCAGCCACCTCTCCACCAGTCAACATCGACACCGAAAAAAATCATAGTGTAGACCAGTCATGGGCCAACTTGGGCCCTTCAGGTGTTTTGAACTTCAACTCCCACAATTCCTTACAGCCTCAGTGTGCCGTCACACCCAGACACTATAAAGTTAAAACTAAGATGTGCTTCTCTCTTTATCCGGGTGAACTGCGGGTGCTTACTTAGAAGCTTAGGATTCCCAGCAACTGAGGCCAGTCCAGGTTTGAACATCAAACAGAACATTTATTTCTCAAAGTCCTTGGCAGACTTGGCACAGCTTGAGGAAGTTACAAACAAAACAGTCAATTTGTGAAACCATGTAGATGTTCTTTCCTTTCCTTTCCCTTCCAGCTACTAAGTTAACTTCCCCCAATGATAGAAAATCCTGGGACACTCTACCCTAACCCTGAGCCGCTATGGTTAGAAAGAACAGGTTTTCCCCTATCCAAGCTCAAGGATAGTTTGGGGTTGAAGTAATGGAGCCTCTGTCAATGGCAGATAAATCCTGGGATATTCTCTCCCCCAGCGCTGAGCTGCTACCTTTTAGAAAGAACAGAACTTCCCCTATCTGAGCTCAGCACCAGTTTCCAAGGCAGGAGGGTAACCGTACTGACGATGGCCTGTCTGAGCTGCCTAGCTTGGCCACCAGCACATCTGAGGCTTTTTCTAAACTGAAGAAGGCAGGAGAACTTCTCCAAAATGGAGATCTCATCCCTAGGAAAAAGGGCGGTCTCTGGACCAAAGAGATACTTTTTTAAGCAAAGGGATGCTATTTCAGGCAACTAAGGGGCAATGCAAACCAAGCTCCTGAAAGACGGAACACTCAGGCCCCTTCCTTTTCCCACTCAGCCACTTAAGTGGCTGATGTGGGAAAGGAAAGGGCCTGAGGCTCTTAGAAATTGTGGGACTTGAAGCCCAAAACACCTGGAGGGCCCAAGTTGGCCCATGCCTGTGCTATGAGTATGTCATCCACATACTGCAGGATGTTGCCCATGTACTGAAGGAATTGTGAGAGTTGAAATCCAAACACTTGGAGGGAGGGCCCAAGTTGGCCCATGCCTGTGCTATGAATATGTTGGCTACATACTGGAGGATGTTGTCCATGTAATGAAGGAATTGTGAGAGTTGACGTCCAAAAGACCTGGAGGGCCCAAGTTGGCCCATGCCTGTGCTATGAGTATGTCATCCACATACTGCAGGATGTTGCCCATGTACTGAAGGAATTGTGAGAGTTGAAATCCAAACACCTGGAGGGAGGGACCAAGTTGGCCTATACCTGCGCTATGAATATGTTGTCTACTTACTGGAGGATGTTCTTCGTGTTGTGCCATCCACCCAGACGTTATAAAATAAAACTGCAACGTTCTTCTCTCTATGTCTGAGCAAACTGCGGGTGTCCTTCATGAGAAGCTTGAGATACTCAGCAACTGAGGCTATTACTGGTTTTAAACATCAAAAAGGATATTTATTTATTCAAAGTCCTTGCAGACTAGGCACAGCTTATCAAAGTTACAAACAGTCAATAGATGAAACCACAGAGATATTCTTTCTTTCTCTTCTCCTCCCGTCACTGAGTTGACTTTTCCCCAAAGGCAGAAAAGATCCTGGAATCTTTTCACCCTAACCCTAAGCTGTTATGGTTAAAAAAAAGCAGGTTTTTCCCCTATCTATAACTTAAGGTTAGTTCTGGAGACAAAGCAGTGAAATCTCTCTCTATATAACTATATAACTCAATCTTCTCAATTAAGCTTATCTATAATATCTCAATATAGCTTAATGCTCAATATATCTCATTATAGCTCAATATAGCTTAATAGTTATCTATAACTCAATATAGCTCAATACTCAATTACTATCTATATTAACTCAATATAGCTTAATATAGCTTAATATCTTAATATCTCAATATAGTTTTTGCAATAGTTTTCCCAGAGCTACCTGCCTAACCATCAGCACGTCTGAAGTATTTCCTCTAAACTGAAGGAGGCAGGGGAAATTCCAAAATGGAGATCTCAAGCCCAGGAGAAGGGGCGGTCTCTAAACCCAAAGAGCTGCTCTCTAGGCCAATAGTTGCAAAGAGGCCTGCAGGCTGGCTTTCCAGCCTCTGAAACTGTTAACTTTCAGGGCTCTTGCAGAGCTGCAGCAGCCCTGGGAGAAAATGCAAGGGGAGCAACTTCAAGCAACTGTAAGATAAGGCAAACCAGGCTCCTGGGAGATGGAACATGTGTACTGAAGAAATTGTGGGAGTTGATGGCCAAAACACCTGGAGGGCCGAAGTTGGCCCATGCCTGTGCTATAATATGTCGTCCACGTACTGGAGGATGTTGTCCATGTACTGAAGGAATTGTGGGAGTTGAAGTCCAAAACATCTGGAGGTCCCAAGTTGTACCTGTACTAAGAGTATGTCATACATGTACTGAAGGATGTTTTCCACGTACTGAAGGAATGGTGGAAGTTGAACTCCAAAACACCTAGAGGGTCCAAGTTGGCCCATGTCTGTTCTATGAATATGTCATCCAAGTACTGAAGGATGTTGTCACATACTGAAGGAATTATGGGAGTTGAAGTCCAAAACACCTGGAGGGCCCAAGTAAGCCCATGCCTGCTGTAGACTCATGCAATCCAGTTCAATGCATTCTGAAAGTGCATTATGTGGCAGTGTTGATCCAGCCAAAGTGGCCAACTCTTCTATGACTGTATCACTTCCGTCTGCAAGTTGAAGGACACGAATAAAATCTTCTCAAAAATAACTAAGCATACAAAACCGGCCTTCTTAACAAGGATCCCCCAACTCTGCTCAAAGTGGGTTTAAAACAAAAACCTAACTCTTGAAGGCAGCCTGCAATCCATTCAGATGTTTTTTGGTTAATGTAGACAAGGCCCGTGAGATTGATTGGTGAAGAAACACCATTGCAATTGGAGATCTTGGAGTCCTCGTGGACAACAAGTTAAACATGAGCCAACAATGTGATGTGGCGGCAAAAAAAGCCAATGGGATTTTGGCCTGCATCAATAGGAGCATAGTGTCTAGATCTAAGGAAGTAATGCTCCCTATGCTCTATTCCGCCTTGGTTAGACCACACCTGGAATATTGTGTCCAATTCTGGGCACCACAATTGAAGAGAGATATTGACAAGCTGGAATGTGTCCGGAGGAGGGCTACTAAAATGATCAAGGGTCTGGAGAACAAGCCCTATGAGGAGCGGCTTAAGGAGCTGGGCATGTTTAGCCTGAAGAAGAGAAGGATGAAAGGAGATATGATAGCCATGTATAAATATGTGAGAGGAAGCCACAGGGAGGAGGGAGCAAGCTTGTTTTCTGCTTCCCTGGAGACTAGGACAAGGAACAATGGCTTCAAACTACAAGCAAGGAGATTCCATCTGAACATTAAGAAGAACTTCCTGACTGTGAGAGCTGTTCAGCAGTGGAA